AAAGGGGCAACAAAAAAAAAAAAAAAAAAAAAAAAAAACACATCATAGTAAAATTAATACCTTCTCCGCTTCGCATCGAAGCTAAAATATTATTAGTTTTTTTTAAGTGACATGAAAAATCTTATAAAATTCAATGGCACCTGATGGCCCCCTAGTCGGTTGTTATTCGGTATCAGGAAATCTAAAAATATCAAAAGTCCCCCTCAAATTGATTATTTGTCTATATTATTATCCAGAGTAAAGTCTTTATAGTCCTTTTGATATTTGTAGGAGATATGAGATTTTTATAGTTGATTAACTTAATTTGAAACAATTATATCACACTCCAGAAAACCGAAAAATATTCTATATCTATTATTTATAATATAGTAATATTATAAATAATAGATATAGTATTTTTTTCGGTTTTCTGATTTATAATTACTATCATAATTTACTGAGTTATAGATTAAAACTAAAAATCATCCGAACCAATGAACCAATTAGCAATCATTTTTAAAACTGTAATGAGTATTGTTTTATTTATATATTATCAATCGAAAAATTCATTTTATGTATCAAATTTTAATTCCTTCACACTAAATAAAAATAAAAGTATACTTTATCACAAGTCAGATCGATTTAAAATGTTTGTTCATGATTTTATAAGTGACAGTGGTATTTTCTATAATGATAGGTGATACTATCTATAGTGTACTAGATTTTTACTAATGAATAATTAATTATTAAACTGAGATATTAATTGTTTAATAATCTACATATTATGAACGGTCTTGTAACGTCACAAATTCGAAGGTGGTCCGTTTATGATTATTTTGCTATGTCTACTTATTAATTTTATAGTGCGAAAGAACCTTTTCCTAACACAGCGGTGTCAACCACTCATTATTTTGCCGCTGACCGCTAGATAAGGCGATAAAAGATAAATATAATTACAATCGAATTGTTTATCAGTATTGATCCCTTCCAAAAAGACTGGACGTTATCGATTTGAAATTGCCGTTAGATCGGTGTTGGCTCTTCTCCATTCTTCTTCTGTCATTGACCGTGATAGGATGCACACGTTGATTGTTTTATTGACATTTTTTTTAAATGATGGAGTAGAGCGGCCAACGGCGAACGGCCAGGTGTTTTCGGCGAAGCATCCAGACCATCGTATGGGTCTCTTCGGAGACCGGGTATCGTTTTCTTTTATTTATTATATTTATGTAATGAGCTATATTTTATTAATTATTTTATTTCATTTTTATTTTATAGTACATTAACTTAATTTTGTTTATCTGTGGAGAGCACGTGTTTCCCTTTTCTTCTAGCCAACGCTAAGGAGCGAGTGTACAGACCACTCCTGGTGTTTTTCATTAAATTCCGATTAACATTAACGGATGTGTTCCAATACCGTCCGTGTTGTTTGTAATATTTTTTGTTTAAATATTTTATTTTATTTTTATTGCCTTTATTTGTAGACATGGTTTTTAATGCATTCTAATTTTTTTCNTAGTGATTTTAATCACTGTCAGATTAAATCTATACTGGACCCTACTATGCAATGTCTCCACTATGCCGCGACTCCACTGTGCTGGGTTTTTTTACTTTTTTAAAGTCGAAAAAGTAGTTTTTAAATTTGAGTTAGCTTAAATAGCTAATTTTATCATGCAACAAAAAGCAATGAACAGTTGCTGAATGGGTAACATCTTGATCTTTCACGCCTAGGGTACGAAGTTCAAATCCGTCTGTGACCTCTAAAATTTTTTTTATCAATTAAATTAAATTTCCTTGTTAATTTCAACTGTAATATTTATTTTATTGCGCGAGTAACTTAATTACTCGCGTGTATTTATCCATATTCCTTAATCTAGACACGGGCTACGGTATGTTTTACATATCAACCACATACAACTTTGATTGTCATAATTGTGTTTAATAAACACAAAAACATAAAATTTTGGCATCAGTTACTGATAAATCTGTATGATCTGATATATCTTAGATTTGGTCTTGCAAATGTTAGTTCTGGCGGACTAAGACTAATTCTGCTATTCTTACTAATATAACCAATATAATACAAGATTATATAAATTATTTTTTACCCTAATATTTTATAATAATCATATTAATATTTCAACTTAAACCATTACACATTAAAATAAGTAATAATAATAGATTTTAGAATATTTTTCAATAGAAAATCTGTCTTAGTAGTGGATAATAGTACTGTTATATATCTGGGACAGATGTTTTTTGTATTGCCAGTTTTTGTATTTATTAATATTATCACAACAACTTGAAAGTTTTATGTCTAATAAACAAAATGATGCTAACGAACATAACATTCGTTGTTAATTAAAATTATATTAAAAAACGGANGAAGACATTACCCTTAAAAATTGAAAAAAATTCCCTCGTTCCCCGCAAATGGGGGAAATATCCAAAAAAATTACAAATTTATATATTGCTAATTTTCGAAATTTTTTCACTTTTTTTTCTTAAAACTTCCATAACTTTTTGAAAAATCAACAAATCAACATAATTTTTTTTTATACTAAAACCTTAGATATTTACCTTTCATTTGATATCATTT